CAGGGCTGCCCTTTGCTTTTCATGCTCTGACCCCCCAGGCAGGAGGGGGACACAGTTCTGTTGAGGTTCCCTGAGCTGGGACAAGGAGGAGAAATTTTTTAATTGTCAAAGCAAGCACAAGCTCGTCAGCTGGAAGAGCACCAGCATGGGCTGCGCGGATTAGATTTTGCTTTTGACATTGGTTCGTTGGCTTTTGTCCTTTGGGTGGCATCGCTTGCACGGGAAGGAAGCAGCAGGTGAACTGCGGTGAGGCCAAGGTGGAGGGAGATGTCCTTTAGGCAGCAAATCCCACTGCCGGCGGGGACGTGCCGCTCCGCGTGTCCCCAGGGGTTCGGCACTGAGGGGCCAAAGCCAGCGCGGGGACATCTCGGGGGTTCCCCTCCTGAGCCGGGTGCAGGGGAGTAGGGTTAAGCATCTACCCTGTGCTCAGTGTTTCTCAGAGCGTCAGCGGGAAATTAAGGTGAATTGGTTTGAGTTTGGGTGTGTGCCAGTCGAGGTAAGCAGCTGGGCTCCCCGGCACCAAACTGTGGTGGGGTTTTTATGTGGCTTTAATGCAGGACTTTGTTCTGACTTTTATTTTTCTCCAATTATTAAGACTTCTTGAATCGGATCTGCCTTTCCTTCTCCATACCTCTTTGGGATATAAATGGAGCTTCACTTCAGACTAAAGGCCACCAACATTCCCGTCAAGTTTTAGAAACAACCTCTGCCCTCTTCTCTCCTCCTGCCTTTCTTCCCCCGACATCTGCATCCTAAACTGTTTCTCATAGCCACATAAAGCTAGAAAATACAACTCAAATTTCTGACTCAGAACTTATGTATATCTCAAAGCACATCTGATACCACAAATAACTCAGAGTGTTTTCAGGGCTATGTGGGTGTTTGTCTCAACCCCTTGGTATGGCTGGCTGTACAGCGCCATATCTCACATAGTTTTTTATTATATGTTATACATCTTAAGTATTAATTTACACGTATGATATTAATTTTATGGACACAGACACGAATCAACCTCATTCGGTGAGCCCTAGTGACCCAGACTTGCAACTGGCAGAGGACGGAGGGAGCCCTTCTGCAGTAAGTTCAGCTCCGCACAGACACGAGGGTCAGTGGTGGGTTGCAGTTGCAGATCTGGGCTTGTAACAAGAATCCCAGCTTTCTGGAAGCCCAAGAATAACGACGATACTGAATCTTAAATTCACATGACTGGTGGAAAAAAAAAATAACCCAGCGGGACCTTTCCCCCACTAGAAGAGACTTCCAAATAATTAACCCATCTCCTATTCAGGCAAAAATGCTACGGGAAAAAGTTGGCTTTTGGCCTGAATAAAACATGACAAGATCCAAACTGAGAGAAATCATGGTTGGCATACAATGGTATGTCTACTGTGGCATACCAGTGCAAATCCTATACTTCCTTTTGGCTTAATTAGTGCCATGTGTTAAATATCTCTCTATGTTAAGCAAAAAATTCCTCCTATCAGGCTCACAAAGCCCAAATATTTGTCTGAAAGATAAAGACAATATTTTTGCACAAACTCAGCTGTTTGAAATGCAACATTGACAGGATGGAGTACTGTTTTGGTTGGACTCATATAGCACAGAGCTAAATGAGTATTACAGATTTTTGGTCGAGATTCCCATGGCTTCCCATTATTATTCTTTTAGACTTGGAGGGGAAGCGTTCCTCAAACAAAAATGAACAGGGATTTAGAAGCTAAATTCTGTGTCCTTTCCTCGTGGGAGACTCATTTCTCCCTATCAGGTATTTCAAGATTTAAATTCCGGGATCTTTACAGGACATATGCACAGAAAATTTCCACATCAAGCCATACTCTTTAAGCTAAAACATGTCTTCGTGAAAGATAACTGAGTCCTGGTTTACAGCCTTCAGGAGACAGAGAATCCATCAGGTACCCAAGTACTTTTTCCTACTACTTGATTACCTTCACTCAAAGCCACACATTTTGTAGCTTGAAGTTGTGTGGTACCGAAGCCTGCTCCTGGAGTCTCACCAGTCCTTCCTCTGCTGAATAAAGGAGCCCCGCTCCATCACATATTCCTCTCCCAAGCAGATACTTAAAGGCCATGATAAAGTTGATCCATAACATCTTTAAGGATGGATCTAGACTGAGCCTCTCTAGACTCCTGCCATAAAGCCTGGTTTCCGGAGCTAATGTAATTCTTGTTACTGTTCATCCAAGAAGGGTTTTGCTAATGCTGTACATGAAAACAACACGACCTTTCTTCTTTTGCCTGATATTCCCCTGCTTAGATCTACAAGAATTGCATTTGCTGCTTTATTTACAGCATCACACACAGTTTGTATTCAGTGAGCTACGTACAATCACTCCTCAGTCCTTGACACAGTCGCTGTTTGGCAGAAGACATTTGCCTGTTGTTTATATTTGATGTGCGTTTCTCCTTGCTGGACATATGACTTTGCATTTGACTTCGCTGTTTGAACAAGCCCTTTTTATCAAACAACCCGAGTCAGGCAGCACAACTGATGTGTTACCATCACTAATTGCTATTCTGTCCACTTTGGGGTCATTGGCACTTTTTACCGGCAGGGACTATATTTTTATTTCCGGGTCATTGATAAAGATACTGAACAGTACTGATTAAAAAAAAAAAAAAAAAATATCACTGCAAGTCTACTTATAACACCCACTGCATACCAATATCTCACCAATCCTTATTTTCTACATTATATCTTCTTACTGTTTTTTAGTCCACTGAATATGGGCCACATTCATATTTTTAGGATTACTTTTCTTAAGCAAAACATCATCTAGGGCTAAATAATCTGAATTACAGAATTCTGCTTTATTAATAGTTGCTTCTATCAACCAAGTCCCTGAAACTTCACTTAATTATTGTTTTTATTTTTCAATAGTTCCTCTTGTTCCTTGCTGTTTGCAATTGTTTTTAGCTTAGGGAATAGGATTTTGTTGGAAGTTTAAGTTATATTGGTGCCCCAGGCCTACATTTTGCTGGCATTTATGAAATGGAATAATAATGTGATCATTTGCATCTAGAAAACCATAATTTTCTAGCCTGCTGCCCAACACATTATAATCTACAAAAACAAGGTCTGACGCAGAAATACCCCAAGATGATTTCAATTATTTTTGTGCTTCGAAACTTATGTACAGCTTTGAGAAACCCCAGGGATGCTTTTCCAGCTGTAGCATGAGACCTTCCGCATCTGCTCCCCAGCCTCAAATCTCCTATCAGACACCAAGGGATGGTTCCTCTCTCTGCACTCCAAGAGGGGATGTTAGAGGAGCTGATCTTTCTGCTCCTATTTTACTTGACAGTCTGCAGTGGACGCTTCTCCCTCAGTGGACTCCCCCTGCCCCAGGGAAGTTGCTGTTTGAATAGGGATCTCCAGGCATTTCGAGCTTTACCCGAACCGTCAGTATTTATGGCACGTCAGACTGCCTTTGACAGAGACTGCCCTTCCTCCATCCCTCTCTCCCTCCCTCCTGTCTTGCCTGAGCAGGCTGTAGCAGTGATTCTAGCAGTGATTCCAGCGTCCCCGTCATTCCGATCACCTCACAGCTACTCAGTGATATCAATCATCTCACGTGAATGTTGCCGATTCCTTCGACCTATTATCAATCTAAAAGGTTGGGTATTCTAATATTTCGGTTAACTGCTCATATTTTTGCTCACTTCTGCCATACCTGGCTTTAGCTGCTCGGCCCGGTCCCTCCCCGGTCAGCACGGATATAAAAGTGCTGCAGCGACCGCAGACTCGCAGACCCAACTGGCCAAGCGGCGGCTTACGAATACCGCCTAGAGCCCTTGCCAGGACCGACCCCGGGGGGCTGTGGGGTTGGGAGGGTGACAAGGTGAGAGCAGACGTTGGGGTTGGGGTGGGGGGGACACCCCGCTATCTCAAGGGAAGCGGACCCCCGGGCTGGATGCTGCCGGCTCTCGCTGAGGCCCGGGCCGGGCTCCGCCTGCGGCGCCTTCAGCACCACCCGCCGCGGACAGCGCCCGGCCACGGCTGCCCTGCCCCCCCCCGCGCCCCCCTGGAGCGGCCCGGCACCCCCAGCACCCCCCCCCAAACCCCCATACACCCCCGGGAGCGGACAGGCACCCCCAGAACCCCCCCCCCCAAACCCCCATACACCCCCGGGAGCGGACAGGCACCCCCAGCACCCCCCCCCCAAACCCCCATACACCCCCGGGAGCGGACAGGCACCCCCAGCACCCCCCCCCCAAACCCCCATACACCCCCGGGAGCGGACAGGCACCCCCAGCACCCCCCCCGAACCCCCATACACCCCCGGGAGCGGACAGGCACCCCCAGAACTCCCCCCCCCAAACCCCCATACACCCCCGGGAGCGGACAGGCACCCCCAGAACCCCCCCCCAAACCCCCATACACCTCCGGGCAGCTGCCCTGCACCCCCAGCATCCACACAACCCCCCCCTCCGGGCAGCTGCCCGGCACCCCCAGCGCCTACCCAAACCCCCATGCACCCGCGGGAGCGGCCCGGCACCCCTCAGCACCCACACAAACCCCCCCAGAGCAGCAGCCCTGCACCCCCAGCACCGACACAAACGCCCCCTCCACCCCCCCTCCTGGCAGCAGCCCTGCACCCACACCACCCACTCAACACCCCCCTCCCCCATCCCCGGGCAGCCGCCCTGAACCCCCAGCACTCACTCATCCCCCCCCTCACACACACACACATACACACACCCCGGGCAGCGGCCCTACACTCCCAACATCCCCCCTAAACACCCCCCACACACACACATACACACACACCCCGGGCAACGGCTCTGCACCCCCCCAGCACCCCCCCCCCCCATCTCCCCGGGCGGCGGCCCTGCACCCCTCAGCGCCCACCCAAACACACACACGCCCCCGGGGCAGCGGCCTTGCACCCACCCAAACACCCCCCCCCCCCCCATCAAACCCGCGGGGTGCGACACCCCCCACCCCCCCCCCCCCGGTCCCCGCTGCCGGAGGCACTGACCGAACATCTGGATGTGGCCCTTGGTGATGGGGTTGAAGCTGCCGCAGGCCAGCAGGATAACGTGGGTCTTGGTGGTCTCGGTCATGGCGCCGGCGCGGCCCTGCCCGGCCCTGCCCCAGCCGCTTTTTGTGTCTCGGTGCGGCTGCGGCGGCGGCGGGAGGGCGGGAGCGGGGGCGGCGCCGCGGCTGCGGGAGAGGGGCCGGAGCCTTCCCCCCCACCCCACCCCACTCCCCCCCCCACCCCCCCCCTCCCCAGGCCACGCACAGCCCGAGCCACGCACCACCCCCCCCCGCTCCCACCCCCGCCGCGGGCACGGGTGGGCACGCCGATCCACGCGCACACACACCCCCCCCTCGCCTCCCACCACCCCGCGTGTGAACGCAGCTTCACGCGTGGGCGCGCACACGGGCACCGAGACGCAGCTCCCTCCAACGAGGAAAGGCTGGGGAGAGGGGGCCGATGCTTACACGCACACGCAGGGGCTGTGTGTGTCGTCGTCCCCCCCCCCCCCCCCCGTGTCTCTGCCAAGCAGCGGTGCCACATTGGCATCCCCCCCTCCTCACCGCCCCCCCCAGCTCTGCCCAGGTGAGCCTGGAGACGCCCACAGCCCCAGTTCGGGACCCTCACGGGCCTCCCAGTTGTCCTGGTGCAGCGTCGCTGCAACACCCGTTTCTGGGACTCCGTGGGGAAACTGGCTTGGGGGGCTTCAGCTTCACCCAACGCCTCCGTTTCACTGCCTGAAGGAAGGGAACATCAAATAGATGCTGTGGGTGCGCTGAAAACGAGTCTTTATGGCAAGGTAAACCAGTACCAGCCTGACTGACTGACTAATTGCCTTCATTTTGTGTTTGTACGATTGCAGCATTGCTGTTCTCCGCCAAAGAAGCTCCTCTCCCCGAGGAAGGGCCGGCAGAGCCCTCTCTGCTCACCGCCACTGCAGGCAGAGCTGCAGGCAGCTGCCTTCAACCACCTCCCAAAGGCTCTCTCCATCCTGTCGCTTCTCTCCGGCTCCTACACGCAGTCTTTCCTCCCAGCGGGGCCTTATGTGCCACCAAAAGGTTTCCCTTTCTCTTCCTCCATCCATCCTCCTCCCTCTGTCCATAAGAGGTGCTGACCACAGGGCTTCACAGCCCCCGTTACCTCCCCTCTGCCTTCCCCGGGTGGTGGCTTTCAGCCCTGCCCGAATCAACGGGGTGTATTTCTCACCGTCCTGCTAAGACAAAGTATTTCCAGGCCTTTGCTTGAAAACTTTTTCCCTGCCAGCTCAGCCAGGTTCTGGGCTGCTCATCCGTCCTATCCCCGAGCGATGTGAAAGAGCAACACCCCTGGATGAGGAACCCAAGAAAATATTGAGTCTATTTACCCAGGGAACCCTTAAATCCTGGCTGCAGTCACTCCCTCGGGAGCAGACAATAGCAAGGGCTGGTCTCTCTCGCCACATAGGGGTGCGGTAACACACCCCTGTGGGGTTTTTTTAATATTAAACTTTAATTCAGATGAAGTTGGCATTGAGGGAGAGGGATGCTGAGACAGCCGGTGTGCGCTGCCCCTTGCTCCCTGCCTCTCCCCTTCGCTCCATCCCAATCCCCAGGGAGATGTGGGCTATATGAATATAAAATTAATCCTGTTAATATAGCAGGGTGCTCCTCTTTGGCGACAAGCTGGCTCCAAACGCGCTGGTGTTTGAGAGCTCACAGCCCCCCTTGAATGGGCTTTGCAAGTTGAAGGCTGCAGGATGGGGACCGGGAGGGTGCAGGCAGAGCTGCCAGAATTTAAACAAACCATTAAAAACCATACAGCACATGCAGCCTTGCAAGGAGAAAGTAGTTTACATGCACTAGCCAGAGGTTCTTACAGCCAGGAAAAAATTCAAATAAAAAACCACTAGGAAAATACTCCCGTGTAGGAGAAAAAACGGTATTAAGGGTGTAAATGTTTGTCTACAGACAAAAATCCTTTAGAGAATCCTGTTTTTTCACCAGTGGAAATCCAGGTGGGGGGAGCATGCTGCTGCAAACACAAAATTATTTGGATTCTCGGAGGTTTGCTCTCGGTGTTAGTCTCAAAGCCAGACAAACCCCATGAGAATGGATGTGATGGGTCGGCTGCAAGATGGGCTGAGCTGGGGGGATGAGGCGGGATCACGAACGGCGTCCCCCCACGGCTGCCTCCCCTGACCCCTGCCAAAAACCAGCCCGGTGGCAGCGTAACCCAGGTGCAATCCTGGATGGGCTCAGCCACCAAATCAGACGCACACAGTGGCCTGTAACCCACGAAAAGTGTTCTAACAGTGTCCTAAAAACATCAGTGACGCATTTGCTCGCACGGCTCAGCTGTGAGAAGGGCCAAGGGGAAGCAGGTCCATCCCTTTCCATAGGCTGCGTAGGGAAACAGTGATAAATGAAAGAATAACGTCAAGTCAGGAAAGGTACGGTGCATTTTTAGGCGTTCTGGGAAAGTGGCACTCTACCTTCTTACTAGCTCTGTACGGACATTTGCTGATTCAATGGGATGAGATTTTGGAGTTTGTGTTGGGATTTTTTTATTTTTCTTCCCCAAGCTTACCCTGAAAGGGAGAGATTTGCTGCTTTAGGAAAAGTTGTGGTGCTCTGCAGTTTAACACCAGTGCTATGCTTGGTATAACCCTGCCTTTAAAACCACAGGCTTCAATTAACACTTATAAGCCTTGGGCTAAACAGCAGAAAAAGAGGACATTCTTCAAGCTTGCCTTGGTCACACCTGTGTGCTGACCGACCGGTTCTCTTCGTGTGCATGTGTCTCTCTTTTCACAAAACTTGTTCTCCATTTTTTTTAAAAAATTAGCCCACAGCTTCAAAAGCTGGTGTCTAATACACTGAGGGACAGAAACCTCTTTTCCTTTGGAAACCAGGGAGACTTGAACTCCCTTTTTTTTTTTTTTTTTTGGTGCTGAGCTACAAGATATTTCTGGCTAGGCTGGTTTCCACAGTGGCGAGGTAGAGGTAGCAGTGCTTGTTTTCCATTGCGGGTGCTCCAGTGTCTCTACCAGAGGTAGCAATCGTTGCTCACGTAAGGCGATGGAGCAAGCTGCAAGCCTGCCATGGCTCTGCTCAAGAAACACAGCTCCGGGGCAAGAGCCGGCCTCGGGCTCCTCTCAGCTCAGCCTTCCCCCCAGGCTGAAGCTGTGGGCCCCGCAGCTCCTTGGCTCACACTGCTGGTTTAGGATGGGAACAGCATTGTGGTGCTACTGGTTTGGCTCCAGCCCAGAGCTGCGGGAGGTGTTGTTAGTAGGGAACACGGTGCTTCTCTCCTGCACGTTCCCACCTAAGATGATGTCCTACCCCCTTCCCTTGGGGCGGTAAACTCTGCACTGATATGAAACCTGGGGGTTTGACCTTAACAAGAAGACTCCTTTGACACAGAAGAGATTGAAGCTCGGGCGAGACACTTGATAACGAATTTTTTGTTAATCCTAACCCCATTCCCCACTAATTTTGCACAGGAGATCCTGCAAGGAGGCACCTTTTCCCTTCAGCCTTCTGTAGGTTGCACCACCTGAAGCCGTAGGAGCCTCAGGTGCTGCTGCTGCAGGAGAAGGCACAAATGGAGAAAATCACGCGTGGCCGAGCTCTCCTGCTGCCCGGCGATCCCCACCGCAACCCGCCGGCTCCCGGCGTGCACGGCCGAGTCTTTCTGCTCCATCTCATGCTGGGGTTTGACCTGACACACCAGATACCAAAAGGTTAAGGAGGCCCGTCCAGAGGTGGGTTGCGCACTGCCTGGCCGCGGTGGGGAATGAGGTCTGGCCAGCGCTGCTCACACCTCTTCCTTCGCTTTCCTGCTGCGTGCCGGGGTGGGTAAAGCGACGTGGTAAATCAGCTGTCACTTAGCAACGCTGCGGGGCCGGGAGCGGCGGCGGTGGCAGGTTTTGGCGGGGGAGCGATGCCGGCCGGGCTGTGCGGTGGAGCTGCGCGCACAGGGAGACGCTCCTCACCTTTTTCCCCTCCCTGTTTTTTCCAACTCAGCCTCTACTTTCTTTTCCTTGCTGCTTTCCCTTAAACACGTGGGTGGAAATTTCCCACCGGTGAAGACAACAGCCCCGGCCGCGAGGAACCAGATGCTCCCTGCCAGCCCCCGCTGTGATTGCCGGAGCGCCCCAAGACCCCCGGCCAATTTAGGCTCCAACCCAGCCCATGGTGGCAAGCAGCCATCTGCAGAGCTAGTACAGCAGGACAGGCAGAGGGCAGAAGGATGATTAGCTTCAGTTTAGTCTCTGAGGAAGAAAATAGGGTGGAGAAATGCAACGACTTGCCTACCCCGGCACGGGGAGCTTGTCGCAGCACTGCAAAACTGCTGCCTGTGGGACTTGAGAAGCAAGGCTAGAACTGTTAGCACACCCGAAACATCGCCTCTGGTTCATACCAAGGGGATTTCTGCACATGGATTTGTCCAGCTCTTGGCCATCTGGACCCCATGAGCAGTGGGGCCGTGAAGCTGGAGGCAGGGAGACAGTGCCTGTGTTTGCTGGGGTGAAGGACGGGGTCTCTTTGGTCCTCCCAGCACTGCCTTCCACCTTGTCTCACCTCTTGGGCTCAGGAGAGAGGAAGGGAAACCTTTCAGCTTAAGGCTTTTAAACTGTCAGTTTGCAAACTCTTTAAAACAGCCCAAATCTATTGGAGAAAAGGGCAATTCCTGCCTGGGGTGGGGGCAGCAGGAGAGGGCTGCTCTGCAAGGGCACGCGAGGAGGGAGCCGAGCTTAAAAGCATCTCCCAAGCAGAGGATGGAGGCGCGGAGGAGGTTCCTCACGTCTCTCTCAGCTCCTTTCCCCGGGGGTTGATCCCAGATGGAACCTGCCGTATGGGAGGTGACGCTGGGCTTGGGCACCCTTTCACTGCCCCCCCCCCCCCCCCCCCCCCCATCTCTCTGCTGCTGGACCCAGCAAACACAAATCAAATCAAGTCCTTTGGACATCTTACCCACAGCTGCGCAATCGTGAGGTCCAGCCGAGGAGTTAGAGGGGCATCAACCAGTTGTGAACACAGCCTGGCACGATTCAGAACCTTTGCTGTCTAGATCTAACAAGGGGGGTTCAGTTCTGCTCCCCACATGCCAGCCCTGTAATGCAACAATGCTTTTTTTTTTTTTTTTTAAATAAGTCTTTCCTTGAGAATTGAGGAGCAAAAGATCTTGAACTGGGGAGTCACT